ACAGAGTGTGTTCCTGCACATATATATAAAGGCTTGATGGAAGAAAACTTTCCATTGTTATAATGGAAAAATATTGTCTCCATGGAAACTGACTAAATTTTCTATATATGGTCTATAATTTACATCATAGAAACCAGTATAAAAATGCAAATTTTAACCATTTTTCACGACATTTCAGACTCTTGTATCTTGGAAAATTGCCAAATATATAATTTCAAAACTTATTGTAGTTGAATCATTTTGAAAACAACATCAAATAAATGTATAACAAATATTTAAATTCAGTACTATCACAAGTATCACTTTGAAATAAAGTAAATGCATGAACAACCCAGAGATGTAATGATATTGATTTTGAAGTGGTATTTCCAGACAAAATCCCACACCAAGAAGAGAGGACTTGAGCTAATAAGCAATTAATTTGCTAAAAATTATAACAATTCACTGAAAATTACATTTCTTGCAAACTACGCGAGAGTCTGGGCATGATGAACCCTGTCATATGGAGAATTTAAAACAACTTCATTGTCTTGATATTTCAGAGTTGCCAACTTTGACATAAGGACTTGTGAGATGACTAACAAGAAAAGTACATATGTGAAAGATAGACTACCTAGTTGTGTGGGACTTATTGGTACTAAGGCAGAAATACAAAATCACTGGTTGTTTCCAATTCTGGTGGTAAGTGGCGAGAATTCGTATGTAAGCTTTTTTAGCTCCACTGTCGACTTTGTCAAGTGGAGCTTATCATATGAGTGATTGTCCGTTGTGGTCGTCTATGTCAGTGTTTCACTTTTTCGTCTTCTTCTTGAAAACTACAAGCCTGAATGCTTTGATACTTAGTGTATATGTACCTTGGATAGACCTCTCTTAGATTTGTTCATTTCATGATGATATCTCCAATTCTCTAATTTTGATGAATATTTTTGATAAAAAGTGATATTTTCGACTTCTTGTAGAAAACCACAAGTCCGATTGCTTTTATATTACATATATAGGTACTACATGTGGACCTATTTTAGATTTGGTAATTTTGTGGTGATATCTTCAATTATCTAATTTTGATGATTATTTTTATCATTTTTGGTGAAAAGTGATTTTTTTTGAATTCTTGTTGAAAACAGTAAGTTCCATTGCTTTGATATTATACATATTGTTCATTTTATAATGATATCTGCTGTTCTTTAATTGAAATGTGCATTGCTAACACCGGAGCTATCTCAGCCGACAGACTGCTTGTTTGTATTTACATTTCTCATATAGTGTATAAATAAACAGATATGTCCAATTAAATAATATTGAAACTCAAAATCCAAATTTTGTAGTAGTGAAAATTTGTCTGGGGTCTCATGACGTGGAATGGCAGCAACATTT